TAGTGCGTTCGGACAACAGTTAACAATCTAAGTCCCAAATTAAAAATGCCACACAATTATTTTTTGGAAACATTTTTCATAGTTTCTTTCTGCAGATCGATTTTTCTATGTTTATTTAATATAACTGATTAATGAAATACAATTCTAATAAAAAATGATTTATGGAAGATCTACAACCTATAACATGAAATTTTGGTTTTTATATTCATCACACCTAACATATGGCACAATCCTCTTCATATTTTCCTTACACTCCCTACTCCATAGAGCTCGATCTTCTACATCTCTTTTAATTACCTCAGCTATACCTCACATAACTCTCTATTACGTCTACGGTCTAACTATTTCAACCTGTTATTTTTGTATTTTCCCTAAAATTGATGCAACTTCTAGAGGCCCCCTTATGTATTTATTTCTTATACTGTCCACTCAAGTCCCTCCACTCATTCACCTTAGCATCCTTATCTCTACTACAATCATTCTCTGTTTTGTATTTTTGACTCCTTCCCTAAATTTTAACCCATATAACATTGCTAAATTCACTACCGTCCTATAAAATTTACCTTTCATTCTAATAGGCATCCTCCTGTCTTACAAAACATCTGATGCTTTCCTCAACTTCATCTATCCACAATTTATCCTATTTTTCACGTCCTTCTCCTAGCCACCTTATTATTGTATTACCGAACCTAAGTACTTAAACATATCAACCTGACACAATTCATCATTACCCATCTGCATTATCTATGTTGCCCTATAATTTTTTCCAAAATTTGACACAGCTCCAACCAAAACTTCTTCTTGTAAAATTGAATCAAAAATCACTTAATTTATTTGTGTTGTGTTTATTATTCAAATACCAATCTTCCACTCGCAATTACTCGTATACTATATAATAGTGTACATTAATACAACAATTATTTATGTTTGAAAGCTTGGCTTCTTCAAAATGTTTTAATTCATTAATTTTTTTATATTATATAGACAATGGAAAATCTAATTCTTCACCTGATCGTGTGTTACAAGATTTCAAATCAATTATATCTGATCATGCAAGAGTTTTAATGTAATTATAAATTGTACTGTTTTATTTATACCTATAAGGTATTTTTACAGTCTGTATTAGTTAGTGAAAGAAACACAATTTAATGTGTATAAATGATAAATATGGAATGTAATCAGTTATTGCAAGCCTGCCAGCCTGCCAGACTACTATAAATGTAGTTCACATGCAAGGTTGAAATCAAATTAACACTAATAACTAAAATATTGTGAAAATTGTTTTAATTATTTAAAATTTAGCATTGTTTGTATTTATACATAGAGAAATGAGAAGTTTTAACAAAATAGTACGACCAATTGTGCTCACCCAAATTGCTATCGCTTCAAATACTTTGGTGTTCTTAACGTTCCTTATGACGTTGGTAAAAATAGTCTGTTCTAGAAAATAATTAAAGGTACTAATTAAATCTTTGCATTGTACTTTCAGAACACAAGAAGTGGTGAACAAGAAGATTTTTTGCAGACGATTAAAATATTTAGCGCCATTCCTTTGTTTATATTTCAACTTTATTTGCCTTGCTACTTTTTTGGGAACATTAACGAATATGTAATATTTCGTACCCGTCTACTCATAATCCGTGTGTAATCTAACTGATTATGTCTTAGACTTGTTTACTTGCAGAAAAACTCTATTAACTTTGCACTGTACAGTAGTAACTGGACAGATTCGAACATCGATGTCAAAAGATTAATTGTATTAACAATGGCAATGAATAATGCTCACCAAATGAAGATGAAAGTGACGCCCAACAAGATAGTAAACATGGAAATATTTGCTAATGTTTGTATATGATTTGTATTTATTATCGTATAATATGAACATCAATATAAAATAATAACTAGAGTCGAAGTTTAAAAGGAATTACAGTGGAATCGGGGCATAGTAGGGACGCACTATAGTAGGGTTGGAGCAAAGTGTGGTCGGGGTATAGTGTGCACGGGGTGATCAAAGGTTTACAGGCATTATTAAATCTGATAGTATTTTCAAACGAGTTTGACACAGCCCGTGTTACATATTACATACTACTGATGAACCGCGACACTTTACCGCCACCATCCGTCCGGTTAATGCTGGCTCGATCTATCCGGATACTTCGGTGAATTGTGAATCCGTTTTATTGATTTATTAATAAATTTTTCTTAGATATTGTGTGGTCGAAATATATTGTGTTCGACCTCAGCGCCGAATTGAACTTATTTATTTAACACCCACCCGTGAATTGCACCGACAATACGATCGCGTGCAGTTGGGCGCGAATTAAGCACAGTATAAATCAGCCCAATAAGAAAGTAATTATGTGAGTTTATAAATAGCATCAAAACGTTTATATGAAAGCGACTTTATCACTTTTATATTTTTAAAGAATTCCTGTAGTCCTGTGACTTCTCTGTCCAACTTTGATTTGATCCCCATTATGCTTTGACCTCACTGTACTGGCCTACTCAGATAAAACCACTTAAAAATAAACGCTATGATGCTTATTTGTAAACACTGCACCTCACTTTAATACTTTCTTACTGTGCTTGATTTGGACTCTAATGGTTTGAAAATATTAACTACTAATTCGTTTAATATACATAATATGAGTTTTAACTCCTGAACATATTTTAACTAAAACCAATAGCATCTCTGCTCCACATCAAAGCCAAAATAACAACAAAAATTCAGGTAGAGTTATGGAAAACTTTTAAACTAAATAAAATTATAACATTATAGTATAGCAATACGTTTCTTTGAACGATGATAGAGGGATACATATTGATCGCCTAAATATATTTTATATGTTCAAATCGTTTAGATTTTAAATGTATCAGTTTTGTATTTACTTATTCGTAATGAACAATTTACTTGATAATAATTATATATCTGTTATCATGAATGTATACCAAGTTTAAATATCATTATTTATATAATATTTTTTCTTTAATGTATGTTACAGGTAATACATATGTGTTATTCAGTATTGTCGGTGTTGATAAAGAAAAATAGAAAATCATCGCTATAAAAAAATAAGTGTATTCTAAATTGCAATTAGTTTTTGTTTAGATTGTAGATAAATTTATTCAATATACATAATTAGAACGTTAATACGATATATATTGTATGCTTAACTATTAATAAAATGTTTAATGAGCTGTGAAGGGTTGTGGAAAATTTGGAAAATTTATCAATATAAAATTCTTATTAGGTTCAGTGAATAAACGTTAGTAAGTTGTATACAGAAATAACCTAGTTGACACAACGATTTAGTGGGTATTATGCAGAGATTATTGATAGCCACGTGTATTTTACAGCATACTTTTTACTTAGTTAATAGTTACTGTTTAGGATTTTATGGATGTAATTAAAGCAGTTTACTACATCATTTTTGATCTAATGACTACTCAGTTCTGAATCGAAGTTAAATGAATTGTCTAATATTTTGTAAAAATTCATAATTAAAACCAGTCGAACTAACGGAAAAGACTTATGTATTTAGTTCTAGTTTTAGTAATATCGACACTTTTATTTTCTTAAACAATCAATAATAATTCGAGAAACGAGACACTATTAATTTAGGCGATTTTTCAGAAAACCCTAACGTTGATTATACATAATGTATCATAGGTCCAAGAAATTTAACACGAACTGTCATTCCTTACACATTAAACGAATACTGGAATATCAAAAGAACGTATAATAACCACTCATAGGTTAACCTATTTCGTTTAATACAGTTTCTTTATTGTCTCACAAGCGGTCGTACGTTTGTTGTGTGCCCTGTGTCTGTGACGGTATTATACGTTCCATACCAAGTAAGTTTCTGTATATATTTCTTATTATAACGCCTTCTTGCAATTCCACTACTTCTAGTACATTACCCTATTCACTTGAGCAATTTTCTCAAGATGTTCATTAGTCAAACTTTATTTCGAAAAAATCAAAATGGGAAAAATACCGTTTAATCGTTTATTATATCAAGTTGTTCTATTGTGAATAATAATATTGCCTACTAGTAACACTGACAAATAATTACTAGAAGAAAAACAAATCAACGAAGATCAACCCTAATAGAGTTATTTAATTTTTACCCGTGTTATGAATTTCTCCATTGTTCATTTTTAATGTTTTGTAGATTATTGTTTCCTAATAGATAAACTCAAAATTTAAACACAAGTCACAACCAATTCAAATCTAGCTATTGTCAAGAAAAATCATGTTTTTTCCCCGAAGCGATTATATGAAAGTGATTATAATTTCTCCCAACTCCCACAGACGTGTAAAGTACTATTAGTTAGTAAATATTAGTGGCTAGTGCCAACGTTTTTGTCATTTGAACGATATAACTATATTTTAATAAAATAGTTAAAATAGTTAAACTGGAAACACATTTTATACCGTCTGGTTTGATCGCTTTCTTAAAAATAAAACGCAGACCTTTGACCTACTTGCTTTTTTGTCTTATAAATGTTAAAATTATAACATAATTAAAACTTATTAAAAATAGATTATCTCCAAAAGTCGTCATGGAGGATACCAACGGACCACATAATATGATCAACATTAAACTGTTAAACCTGTTTGGTTTGAATCAACTTTTGAGCAAAAACAGTAGCAAAATGTATGGATACAGAATAGTTACAACTATAGTGACAATTAGCATGGTGCTCTCGTCGTCAGTGATACTGGTTAATTTGTACGGGCTTTACTACTGGCAAAACAATACGTTTCATATTATAATTCAAATCGCCGGTCTAGAAAACTTTTTATTCGGAAATTACAAAGCTTACACAATAATGAAAAATTCGAGAGTAATCGAAAAGTACATGAAAGTAGGTAAATTCAATTTCATGGGATGCAGTTCAAACAGCGGCCATGATCTGTTGAAGCGTTACCGGAAATTATCTCTAAGGGCGACCGAGATATATTGCGCAATTACTTTGTTGGCTTATTTCTGTTGGACGATAACTCCGCTGATGTTTAGTGATGAAACAAATTATTTGCAACTCCAAAACAACGACGGTACATTCGACAGTTACCATTACAACGTATTCAACTTGTTTTTTCCAGTTTCCAGTAATGCTTATAATAATTATTTTGTTATTTATCATACGATCGAAATTACCCTTAGTTGGGTATACGTATATACTACGATGATTTTCGACGTCCTATTAATTTCAATGTGCATGGCACTGGCTGGCCAACTAAATCAAATCGCGTCAGCTTACAAAATGCTTAAACTGAACGAAGACACGTATGGTACACGTAAGTGTATTAATTTATTAAAATACAAATTATGTAATAAACATTCATGTAGGATACATATGAGTGTATTGCGTTCAGACAATAGTTAACACTCTAAGCCCCGAATAAAAAATGCCCCCCAAGTATTATTTTTAATTTAGTTAACTTTAGAAATACATTTTCATAGATAAATAAAAATATAAATCATGATACAATAGTCAGGTTCAAACAATTCAATTTTAAACTGGATTTTCTGAATCGTCAAAATTCTAAAACCAGAAATTTAAAACATTATACTTAGTTATGATGACGTTATAAAAAATTAGTATTTAATGAGCATTTTAATTATATAGCGTGTTATTCTAAAGACATGATCAGTTTTTAAATCGAACAAATTCTTAGATGGACAATGATGAACTGTACTTATTATTTATGTTTGAAAGCTTGACTTCCTTAAAATATTTTAATTCATTAATTTTCTTATTTTATATAGACGATGGAAAATCGTATTCTTCTCCTGATCGTGTAGTGCAAGAGTTCAAATCAATTATATCTGATCAAGCAAGAGTCTTAATGTAATTATAAATTGTATTGTTTTATTTATATAAGGTATTTATACACTCTGTAATAGAAAGTAGAAGAGACACAATGTTATATGTATAAATTATAACGATATTGTATGTACTTAATCAGTTATTATTCGATACAAATTGCCATAATTTACATGACATTTTTCTATGTAACATCTTTTTTTCATTAACTGAAGAAAATACAACTTCTTGACTTGAGGTAGTTTTAATCTTAGATAATGACTTGTGATAAAAAGTATAGAACTCCGCTCTAGATCTATTTATTCCGAAAAATGGCTAACCCAGCCTGCTATAATTTTAGGTCATATGAATGTAAGGCAGGAATATCTATCACTAATAACTTATATATTATAAACATTGTTTTAGCTATTTAAAATTTAACATTGTTTGTATTTTTCTATAGAGAAATGAGTAGTTTTTATAAAATAGTACGACCAATTGTGCTCACCCAAATTGCTATCGCTTCAAATACGTTGGTGTTTTTAACATTCGTTATGACTTTAGTAAGAATTGTCTGTTATAGAAAATAATGAAAGGTATAATTAAGTCTGTGCATTGTACTTTCAGATCGCAAGAAGTGGTGAACAAGCAGATTTTTTGCAGACGTTTAAGATATTTAGCGCCATTCCCATGTTTTTATTTCAACTTTTTTTGACTTGCTACTTTTTTGGAAACATTAACAAATATGTAATATTCCCTACCCCTCTGATCTATAATCATAATCCGTGTGTAATATAGCTGCGTATGTCTTATACTTTCTTATTTTCAGAAAGACTCTATAAACTTTGCATTATACAGTAGTAACTGGACAGATTCGAACATCGATGTCAAACGATTAATTGTATTAACAATGGCAATGAATAATGCTCACCAATTAAAAATAAAAGTGACGCCCAACAAAATAGTAAACATGGAAATATTTGCCAATGTTTGTATATATATAAATATATATTTTTATGAAATTAATACCAAATAATAACTAGAGTTAAAGTTAAAAAGGCAGTACAGTGGAGACGGACCATAGTGGGGTCGAGGGATAGTGATTACGGGGTGGTGCTTATTTGTAAACACTGCACTCACTTCAGTTTATACATAATATGAGTTTTGACTCCCGACAAATTTTCAACTAAAAGCCCATATCATTGTAAAACTAATAGTTTCGCTGCTCCGCATCGAAGTTAAAATAACAAAAATTTGGGTAAAATTATGAAAAACGTGTAAATTAAATGAAGTTTTTTAGGACTGTGATACAGGGATACATATTGAATCACCTAAATTTATTTTATAAGTTCCAATGGCTTAGATTTTAAATTTACCAATTATGTATTTACTTATTCGTAATGGAAATTGTACTTTATGATAATTATAAATCTATTATCATAAATGTGTATTAAGATTAATATTTATATAATATTTTTTATTTAACGCATGTTACAGGTAATACATATGTGTTATTCAGTATTATCGGTGTTGATAAAGAAAAATGGAATATCATCGATATAAAAAATAAGTGTATTTTAAATATTAACCAATCAACGATGAGAATATATTTGATTAAAAATGTTTTTCGTCGTTGATGAGTTAGTTTCAATTAGTTCTTGTTTAGATTGTAGTTAAATTCGTTTAATATACACTAGTAGTACATTAATGTGAAATATATTGCATGCTTCACCATTAATTAATTGTTTTATGTGCAAAGTATACTTATAGGTACTTAAGAATTGTAATTCTTTTTTATATTTTTAATAGAAAAAATCGTATTTTTGTATTATCCTAAGGTATAGACTTAAAAAATGGAAGTACGGGTATGATATTACCATCAGCTATACCATAAGTTAAAAGTTTTTTTTTGTTTTAAAAGTTATAAAAAATGTATATAATATTATATAATTTTCGATTATAAAAAATTTGATTAAAATGGATAGTGTGTGGCAAGTCCTCGTAAAATAATATTAGAACGATCCGAATAAAATAATTTTAGTGGTTTTTATTCGGTTTGTTCGTACTTCCAGTTAAGTGGTTTTTTTTTTTTGAAAAAGGGTTGAACATAGTTTGTTCTTTATTTTAATTTCATTTGGATATGATTTTGGAAAAAGGGTCTGAAAATACACTAGTGGCGAATACTTGTATCTATAAAATGAAACTTTTAAAAACAATTTTTTTTTTGTTTAGCGCAATGTATAGGTATTTTTTGGTTTACTTGTATTTATTTAAATCTTGACAAGTACAGAATTGACATATGGCGAATAATGGAGTTCAGTTAACAAGTAAAGTACAAATAGTGTCAGCAGATACTATACGTGTTGGCAAATATCCACTCAGAACGAAAACACAATACGATTTAAAGGAAAAATACAGTCCAAACGGATTGCAGTTTTGTAGAACATTCGTACAATAAAATTTTATATCTAATCCGTGTCGTTTTTTTTTTCGGCAAAATGAATAAGTATTTTCTTGTTTTAATTTCAATCCTTCATGCAAATGCGAAATCATTCCCACCGACCAGTAGTATAGACCCAGAGGAAATCACAAAACTATTAGACGACGCAGAACCAAATCCAAAATGGAGTCATATTTTAAATCGAAATATTTTGTACAACGATAAGTATCAAGTTTTAAAGTCTTATATCGACAGCTATGACCGTTCGACAGGCAAAATTCAAAATTTTAATGTCCTCAACATATTGAAGAAATATGTCCAAGACGACGATATGGTTAAGAAGGTAAGCGTGGACGTGATGCGTGACTTGATTCAAGACGCTACCAACTGTGCCGGATTGATTGATACCAATTTGTTTGCAATTTTAATTCTTAAAGACTTGCTATTTTTGGAAGCCCTCGATAACCACAGTACCTTGAATATTGTAGAAGATGCGGCCAACATAAAACATAAAATCATACGATGCGCAAAGGTGTACGATGAATTCTACATGAATTTTAATATCGTTACAGAAAATGGTGAAATCAAATTCAACGGAATGGGCAGGAATGGTCAGTTGCAGGAGAACAAATTGGAAATGCATTCTACGTGGAAAAATACAATACGAAAAAGATCTACCCTCGATATCGATTACCGTATTGAACTGAAGGAATTCAATTCGGTTGTATATCCTGAAGTGGTAGCCGAACCTCTTATCAAAAATTTGTTAGAGGTCATAAGTGTTCTTATTTTGGCAGTTAGAAATACAGACGAAAAATTGCAAGAATCTTGTGTGGCTCATAATGGCAGTTTTGTAAAAAAATACGAATCCTTAAGTGACCAACTCGGCGAAGAATTCGTGCAGTTTATCAAGGAAGTAGATGAAAATAAAGATGCGAATACCGACTGTGGGGAGTTTTGCTATTTTTTCTCACAGTTGGACGACACGGCGAATGAAACCAAAAGTGATGACAAGGAAAAATCTAACAACGGGCCAGCTAAAACTACAACTTCCGACCCGTTTTTCATAAGACGAGCTAATTTTCAAGACGAAAACATCACGATTTCCTTGGAAATAACTGACGAAAAAGAGGCAGAAGAATATAGGTAAATTTACAGAATAAAAAAGCTAGTACTGCGGGGTCGGGGCATAGTGGCGACGAGACATATTTAGGGAGGGGGAGATCACAGGTGATGAAATCACTTTCAAATAAATGCACCGATACAAATCTGTAATGGCAGAATACACAAATATCGATAAAAGTATTGTAATAACATAAAAATCTGATTTTCAGTATTAGAGTGAATACGCTTAGGGTAGGTCGCCCGTCCATAATAATGTATGCCATAGTTATCCATACGTCTTAATTAACAACATAATGAAAATAGTTTCAAATACCTTATTGCTGTAGATTCATTCCTAGATATTTTCTAGATATAACCTAGATATTTACTACCACCTGTCTAATTTTAAGATCTTAAATCCTAAAACTTCACCTAAAGAGACATTTAGAATAAATGTTTTCACCCCTTGTTTTAAAAGCATATAAAAAAAAATGACTTACTTACAATTAGTACATTTTTAATACTGCCTATCAGATACTTGCATTGTAAGGCATTAACAATTAATTATAATACTGTTGAATAATATATTATTTTCATTATCTTATTTCTCAGCCGTTTCATGAATACAATAGTCCGGAAACTAACATTCAGCACATCTTTTGAAAATGATTTAAGCGACCAAGCTTTTAACAAGAAAGAATCCAACAAAGAAAATTCTAACGATAAGAAAGATTCTGATGCATATTATCATTTCAAAGGAACAGTCAATGTTAGTTTATCTTAAACAATATGTTTATTATCTAAATACTATTTTATGATAACATAAATGTCTTTAATATTACATGTTAAAATGGTAATTATAGTTAGTGTTGAATGTATTATTATAAATAATACTTAAACTATGTTTTATGTTTGAATAATCGTTGTAAAATAATTTTATATACTACAATCAGTTAAAATAAAGTATCTTCATTAAAATTATTCACAGTTAATATTTTTTTTCACTAAAATTAAGTTGAAAATTCTATTTGAAATGTAATTTTAGTCAAATGTATTATTAAAATAATAATAACCATTATTATTTATTTTAATATAATAAATGAATGCAAAAATACGTCTATGTTGAATAATTATAAAATTAGATAAATAAGTAATACCAGAGGTAAATTTAACCGTGGCAATTAGTGTACACATTATTTAAAAATTACTGTTTTTTTTAATGAGCAATGTGCTAATTTTAATTGGTCAAAATGTAGTGGGCTGATTTAAAAGTTGAACTGCACCGTTGGCACAACACTGTCACAACTAAAAAAAAATGGTTCTGAGGAAATTTAATTTTATGATTGAAACTGGTCTCAAACGATTATTTTTAAAGCTTTAATTGTGATACTTTAATTAGTTATTTGTGTTACCAGATGCTTGAAATTTTTATTTTAAGCTACTTAGTTAAATCTCAACCAGACACCAAAGATTGAGGATATGGTTATTTGGCAGTATATTATTTTTCAACCGGTGTCATCTTTATTTCAGAAATTTAATTCTAGGAATTAATATTTTTAAACCAAAAATGTTTAGTTCCTATAAACATTTTTTCCATTTGCCATATGTTCCAAAATACTATAAGATAAAATATTTATTGGAACAAATTTGTATTGTGGAACAAACTCATTTAGAAAAAAACGATCGTGGGCAAAATGTATATTGGAACAATTACAATTTGGGCAAAACGTCCATTGGCATAACTGTTTAGCGGAAAATAAGGTGATTGGAACAAGCCATAATCTTAGATAATAGTGTTTTTGGAACAAATGCCTTATGGAATAAAACATTTGTGGAACAAAAGGTAGTGATCCGAAACAGGTAGCTCTCAAATAGTATTGAAATAAAAAAAACTGAATTTTTGTAGAAGTTATGATTTGGCAGTAGTTTTTTTAAAAAAAAATTCTAAGCAATAGTACTGTGTACATATTGCATATTGTGTAAATATTTAGAATTGCGTTCACTATTTGCTTACGTTGTGTTACTGTTTGATTAGACAAGCCCGGCACAAGCGTGTACCGTACGAAATCTATTTCAAAAAGGTTCTTTCTTGCAATAAAATGTTTAGCGTTATAGTATTCGACTTTGCGAAGAGTTCAAGTGCAGTTGACATTTTCAAAATTAAAAAAAACCAATCAGACTTTGGTGGCCGCAGCAGAAAAATGCACGCTTTCGTGGTGTATCAGATATTTTGTGTGTGCTGGAATCTAGCCAATGCTAGTCCACCGGCACGTATAAACTTTATACCGCAATACACAGTGGTACCTACCGGACGACAAGGTGGAAACGACGTTCTCGGGTTGGACGCGTCTACGTCTAAATCAAATGTCAGTATGAGATCGGCTCAGAGGAGCTACGGTGGACTGGTGGTGAACAACAACGAACTTGGAAAAGATTTTACAAAAAAAATGCAACTCAACGCCAAAAAGTCTTCGGCGGAATTTGCCGAGACCGAAAGTACGAGTTACGGCAACAACGACGTGAGTGCGGAAACCGTACAATTTTACAATGAAGTTTCAAACGCTCTGATACGGCATTTAATCGACTGTTTGCATGTAAGAAATAACGGTACGACAAAGATCACGATGTTTACAGAGTTCACAAAACAGTTCAGACCGATTGAACAGAATTTACTCAACAGTTCTATTGCTCTACTGCACCAAAGCGGACTGGACATTACTCGGTTGATGAGATTGTATTTATTTTTTTGCGGTCCGTATAATGAACCGGAACGAATAACAGTTTCTGCGAAACAATTCATACCAATCAAGTATCCCGAGTACAACCAACGAATTCGTAACATACAAGACGACATTCGAGAAAAGTTTGAAGACATCTCAGGCGATGAACATACAGAATCCTATATCATATCGACCGTTGAAGAATTGCAAGAAGTAAAGACAAAAACAGAAAATGAACTTGCTCTACTTGCGACCCGTGCCTCAAACATACTTAAGCCTACAATTCAACTGTTGCCCAGCACTCCGCATCATTTTGTATGCATCGACTTGTTGAAATGGACGGCGTTGATGGATTCCGATAACAAAGATGCCATAAGTATCCAAAACTCGGAAATTATGGTTGAACATACTGGTATTACGATGCAGCGTTACGCTGAGACTTTAAAATACGAAATAGATATTGGCAATCTTGACCGGCTTAACTATGAGGTGCTGTTACGTGTTAACAGTACGTTCCTGTCTTACGTGTACAAGCATTTTCTTTTGTCAGTCAGGCTTATAGACAATAATATGCCAGCTCTGAAGGCATACGATCAAAAGACAATGTCGTTAGTGATTGCACGAGTCTATAGCATTCAGCCGTTGTTAGAGGTTTTGCACCTATCTTTTGTCTTTCGCTATTTAAAATACGTGAATCAACTGCCCTTACAAACAAAGTTGACAGCCTTGATAAGCTATACGGATCGATTCAAAATGGATTCCGGTTTGGACCAAGTTCGTGCAGTGCAAGAAATGAAAACACGACCTGATAAAACAGTAAAAGATATCAATAAAAAACTAAATGAATTCACCGTGCCCTTCTTGCAAGAGCTCAATGTAAAAGATAGTCAAACATGGATTGATGGCGTCAACAATGAACTTAAAAAAACACCAGCGGATATCAGTGCAGCCATAATAACAAACAAAGGTAAAGCTCAAGCAATGATGGCGTTATGTCTCAAACAATTGAACCACAATTGGCCAAATACCAAGATATGATAAGCAATGTGCTTCATACTGATGAACAGGTTAGTGAAGAAAAATAGTTATAACAGTAGTAATAAATATAACATTATAACTAATATTGTAGCTTCATATTATGTTAGTGTAAAATGTTAAAAACACAAGAAAATTGTAAAATTTTATTTTACGCATGTAGCAAATGTTTTATTTCCTTACAATAAAGTTTCGAATCTCTATTAATAAAACTTTATTTTTTTTATTATAATATTATGTCCTAATTTCACTATCCTATCTGAACGTTCACCATTCACTATTGCAATTTTTAACGGTGTTGCCAAAGATACGGTATTGGTTGGAAGCATGCGGTACAGACATTTTATGTGAATGTATAATTATTGAGAAAAATTTACATTTATTTAATTGTCCCACTCTAGATCTACCTTTGGTCTAATTTTTAGAACAGCTTAAGCCCTAAAACTGTACGTAAAAAAGAAAAATAAAGAAAAAAAGGTAACTTCTTCTTTTATGATATTTTTTGGTTTGTAAACCCCAAGGCTTTGATTTCATTACGACTGAAATTATCTATACTCTTATATCCTACTCTTTTTATTATTTTTTGCCTATCAACATGTTTCTCCAATTACATCTATAGCACAGTAGGCAGTTGACAAAGCTAGACTTTTTTACAATACAGATCTAGGTATAGCCATTAATTATCTACAGGTCCGTCTCAACCTTTTGGCTTCATGGTACATCAAATGGATCAAAATCCTCTTATTAAAATTTTAGACACAGATTCCATCCCTGGAAATCCCCAAAGACGTCTTAAACGACATTAGTGTAGAGATCTTAAACTCAAACAATTAAAAAAAAAGAAAAAATTATATAAACTAGTTTTACTTAGTTATTGTTAAAAAAGTGTCATCGCTGGGTGTTTTTTCTTATCTGTTATAGGAATTAATATAATTTTTACAATGAGTATTTACAATCAAGTATATACATGATTATCATGAAGAGGTCACCCCACAATAGGGGCACTTTGTTTGAATATATACAAACTAATGTTTTAACGGCACCTCGGCGATCTCGTTTACCGATTAGACATTAAGTAATACAAACATTTTGGAAAGCCTGGATGTTTTTTATATTTGAGGATTTCGCTGACCCCCCGAATGGCTATCCTATAGGTCCACATAGGTCTAGAAAGGGTTTTGTAGAGAATGATCTTATGCTATAGTGAAATATTTTATTTGAGCAGAGGTCTCAACAGTTCAGCTTTTTACGTTTATCCTTTCGGCGAGGAGCCCATGTTAACCATCAATCAAAGATAAGACCTAAGTATTTAATTTGAGACTTATGCGGGATGACAACACTGTCAAGTGTTGTTAAGTGTGACTGGAGAACAATCATGTGGTCGGAGTGCAAATATAACATGAGCTGATTTAGATTCGTTTATTTTATATTTTCCATTTTGTACACCACTGAGAAATAATAACCAAGTGATTTTGAAGGTGTAGATTGGGTGTTTTCGCCAAGTTTTATTTATTACATTTTATACTAAGTACATTTTCTGAAAGTCGAAAACAACATTTTTCACAACGCCTGTTGCAATGTAAACAATTAATAGCAAATATCTCACGTATTACTGCAAACAACGAATATCATAAAAAATCATGTTATTTCCAAAAGAAAAAAAACTATTACAGTCTTAAAAAATAATTATAATGATAATAATAATAGCGTCGATAAAAAGAAGAACCATAATAGACAATCGTTATTTGTAAGATTTTTTTTTATGTGTCGACTTAAAACCTTTTTTTATATACATAATGAGATACGATTGGAAATTTTAACAAAATATGTAAATTTGTAAAATAACTGATATCAGATTTTTGTAATACATTTCCCTTTCACACATTTGTTTAACGTTTCAGCGAGTACACTTCATAGTCGTAAATCAAAGTATATTAAATTTTTTAATTATTTAGAAAAAATGCGTACAAATTACAGACACGGAACACATTGAAATCATTGTACCTATGCAATTTTTACACGATATTTTCTAATAAATTGAATTCATATTTCGATTTATGACCATTCAAAATGACAGACGGAAAAAAAATACATTAAAATTTCTGTGTGCGCAGAGCTCCTAAAATAATTGTCCGATGCTAGAACATTGTCCTTCGGTTTTTAGCTTCGACGCGGAGCAGCGATGCTATTGGTTTTACAATGACGTGGGTTTTTTTGTGACTGTGTACACTGTAACTTTTTTTTAATATTGGACCAATGCCTTCCTTCGAGTAGCAACTCCATAAATCACAAATTCAATCTAGTTGTTACTAGAGGAAGGAACTAGGGCGGAGGGATGCGAGTTGAAGGAGTTCACGCTTGAAAACGGTAAAAACTAATAAAAAAAAAACTATGCGAATTTTCAATTTTTAACTTTGACTGGCTATAATATAAAAATGGTCGGATCGAGTTGAAATTTATAAGAAATATCTATTCGGCGTGGCCTCATGCGGGCATATAAGGAATTATGAATGGGAATGAATTACTTTTTAAAGGGAATTTTCCAAACACTGTTTATACGTATATACAAATATAACAAAATCCAAGATGCAAAAGTCAAATAGAGTACAATTTAACGTGGAATGTCTTATATACGACAAAAGTCAAACACGTAATACATTAACACATTAACGATAATTTTAAATACATAGTTAATTGTATGTAATAATCAATATTAAAAATGAAAACTGGTGTAGTACAAATGTTCTAAATTATCTAAATTTTCTTTTCTTTTTTTCCTCTGCTACGTCATTCACAAACGATTCGACGATCTCTTCTAAATTTTGCAGACAACGAGGTCCCGGCACTTCAAATAATAATTCCACTAGTGGCAACTGTTTGTATTCGGTCAGGTCTGGTCTGTCGATAACCATAGCTTTTGTTGCACTGACTAATGCTTGACGTCCATCATCAAATTTGCCGGCTACTAATAATGCTCTTGCAGCGAAGACCGCATTGAGATAGTTTGGGTGCAAGTTGTATCCGCGAGGAGGCCCTTTACACAAATAGGAAACAACATTTGAAAAACCCTGGCAATACTATAATATAATGCATAAGTAAACTAGGTCATAAAATAAAAATCGCTACAATCAGTGACATATTATCAAAGATTTCAGGGTATCGTGAATGATATAAATTAAACATGAACGCAACATCTCTTCTAAGATTCGTCCTAATTGGTATCATTCTGTAGATGGTACAATGTATAATATAATAACAACAAAAATGATCAGAATCGCTGATTACAGAAAAGTTTGACAGTGTATTTTTGAATAAATCATACTACATTTTAATTTGTATGTATATATTATAAAACTACTTTCCTTCATATTTTTAGACCATAATTTTAACAACTAGTTCCAAAAAGTTCCAACATTTTCTTAATGATTAAGTTATTCTAAGTACAACTGAGAATTAAATAAACGAACAATTTCCTAAGTGAACGAATCAGTGGTGTCTACTGGAAACTGGATGAAATCAATTAACCTTATTTTCCTTTTGCTTGTTAGACGGAAAAAAACAAAATAATGTTTTTTGTACTCACAGTTTTGTAAATCCGTTTTTTCAAAACAATTTTGGAAATAATAACTACCAAGCTTCGTTTTTAAATTTTCTATTGGTCGGGGCAAAGCATCTAATGAAATCTGAAAGACATACAAACATAAAGTAAACATTAGTACAATTAGTAGTGTCAGCTACATTATAATATGACGGACAAAAAGTAAAATATTAATATTGTTAAAACATTGTGAAAATATGTATGTTTCTATAAAAACAAAAACACAAGTACAAATAGTCTTAAACATTTGATCATTAATTCATATTTGTTATGTTTTATAGGAAATGTATCACATACGATGAGGCCAAAGAAATAAATAGCAAATAACATGGCACAACGAAGACTCATGTTGATTTCACCGTAAACACCTATAACAAAAATAAACCAATAATACTTGTTAATTTTCGTCGAAAAAAATACGTACTCATCAACGGTGGTATGAATTGATAAAATCATAAACAGTAAACGGTGCATTATATCCCAACAGAAGAACAACTATTATAGAACTCAAAATACAAAATATAATGAACACTTATTCGATGACGGCTTAAGGGGCTAACGCGTGACATTATCGAAATCCAAAAATTTGCCATTGTTTGGGACTTGCCAGCCGGGCCCTAAATAAAATTTAAGTATTTTTTTTTAATTTCCGAAAACAGTTGACAGATTTATATAGGTTTGATATTTGCTCAGCGAAAAAACCAACGAGAAAACCAGAGGTTGCCCTATTACACATGTTTCACGTTAAACATGTATAATTAGCATACAAGTGTATATTATACACGTGTCATTTTAAATACACATGTATTTACATATTTTTTTCGTACATATGTACATACCAAGAGTGTACTGCTGGTTGTTTTTTATTTTTCACTTTTTTATCTCACGTTTTCTGTTTTAATTTTATTTTAGAAAATGTCTAGCAGTTCTTCTGCCAAAGAAGAATTGCTTCTTCTGCTTGCCTTGAGTCAAGCAAGACGAAAAAAAAGAAAATGGGTACATGAACTAAATCAAAAAAGAAAATTATTTGGGGAGTTTCACCGACTATGCTGTATTCTCAACGTTCAAACTAGAACTGAACTAAATTGAGTTCAATAATTTAAGAGGTCATATTTTTATGAATTGTTTTAAGCCAGATTTTAAACACTAAAATATTAGCCAGAAACTTGATGTTTTAATATACTAACCACCTTAGATATTAGCTTGTTACTGCTTGTTAATATACTATATCATTCTATATATCATACTATATCTATCTATGATTATCTATATTCCACCACTACTTTAAATTAATTTGGTACTTCAACGAGACATAAAAATGCTCTTTCGTAGTTGCAGACTCGGCTGAAAAATTTTATTAAATTTTACATTTTTGTGAAGTGTTGATACCAGTCTTTTGCCAAATATGTCCATTTTTCAGTGGATGCCGCGTATCATACAAATAAACGCATTCTCCAACTAGATCAATCAATCGTTCTGTTTCATCGATCATTTTCAGTGCACAATTTTAAAATTAAGTACAATTTGTTGTCATCAATATTGTTTGTATATATTATGTTCGATAATTACATAATAATAATATTCTAGAAGTGCTGATACGTCTGGAAAATCCAGTGTATTGTCTAAATTAAATATTTTTTATTTCACAAAATTATTCCAGTCCGCCGCGAGCTTTGTGAAAAAATACAACCATCCGTTTGTCCGCGGCGGACTAGTATAGGCCGCCGCGGTAGGCCGCTGTCTGTTTAGCCAGAATGATGCATTTAAATAGAGTACAGAGTCCGCGGCGGACCGGCGACCTGTCCGCACGGACAGTCCGCTTTCTGTTTGACCGATCCTTTAAAGTATTAGACTCAACCATAGTCCATTTCCAGGTTGCTATGTGTGAGCGAATCAACAATCAACAGGTAAAGAAAATATGTTCATAATATTGTTAAAAAAGATTTATGGGTAACTATGACAACACATTTTTATAGACAGATAGTTAACCCTAATCATATCCACCCTAACACTAAAAATTAATTTTTAAGCTCACAGTTGTTATTATAGAAAATGCTTTTATCAATATTTGTACTTTTATCTGTGAACACTAGACCTTCCTTTCTCAGTTACTTACTACTAATACTACTACTACAATACTCACGTATAAAAAGTTCTTATTGTGCTGGTTTATATTGTGCTTGGTTTGGACTTTACTGGTTTGAACCTACTATCCACAGATTCGCATCGAAGCGTTTATTTATAATAATATCTGTAGACTGTGACCTCCTCGTCCCCATATGCTTCGACGTCACTGTGCTGGCTTTTTATTAGTAAATAGTAAATATATCTATAAACTACCTAGGTATATATTTGAATTTTACCATGGAAAAAAAGAACATCACGTTTTAGTTATAGAAATTTTAAAACTTTATTAAGGACAACTAAAATTTTTGCTACATACCCGAAAAAATAAACTTAAAAAAATCTTTTTTTAATATTATATCATATTTTATACATTAACGAATATGGTTATATTATAATTAGTTATGATGCTATATTTATTACAACTGTTAGAATTATTCTTCTAACATGTTCATCAGAGTGAAGTACTTGATGTGCTTATCATATCTTGGTGTTTGGCCAATTGGGATTCAATTCCTTGACACATAACGCCATCATTTCCTGAGCTTTATTGTTGTTTGCTTCTATGGCTGAACTGATATCCTGTGGTATTTTTTTAAGTTCTTTGTTGACGCCATTAATCCATGTTTGACTATCTTTTACATTGAGCTCTTGCAAGAAGGCCACGGTGAGTTCATTTAGTAATTTATTGATATGGCTTACTGTTTTATCAGGTTGAATTTGCAAACCTTGTACTGCGTGAACTAGGTCTAAATCCAAATTCATTTCGAATCGTTCCACAAAACTTATCAAGGCCGTTAACTTTGTTTGAGACGTCGGTTCATGCACGTAGTCTAAATAGCGAGTGACAAAATATAGATTGAAAATCTCTAAAAACGGCCGAATGCTGTAGATTCGCGTGATCACCAACGATGTTGTCATTGGGTCGCATGCCTTCAGAGTGCGTATGTTTGTATTGATTAGTCTGACGGACAAGACAAAATGCTTGTACACGTAAGACAAGAACGTGTTGTTAACACGCAACAGCACCTCATAGTTGAGCCGACCAAGATTGCCGATATCTATTTCGTATCTTAAAATCTCAGCGTAACGCCGCATCGTAATACCAGCGTGTTCCACTATAATTCTTGAGTTTTGGACATTTATGGCATCTTGGTTGTCGGAATTCATCAGCGCCGTCCATTTCAACATGTCTATGCATACAAAATGATGCGGAGTGCCGGGCAACAGTTGAATTTTAGGCTCAAGTCTTTTTGAGGCGCGGGTCGCAAGGAGAGAAAGTTCATTTTCGGTTTGTTTCTTTAAAATTTTCAGCTTATTAACATGCAATGTGTGCGAAATATTATAGATCGTTTTTATAGACTCGTCACCTATAATATCTCGAAACTTTTCTTTCATATCGTTTTGTATGATACGAATTGGTTGACCCTCCTTCGAAAGGTCCGGTTTTCGAAACGGACCGCAAAAAAATAAATATAGCCCCATCAACTGTGTAATGTCGAGTCGACTTGGATACAACAGAGCAATGGAATCGTTGAGTAAATACTGTTTAATCGACATGAACTCGATGAATAGCGCGTACGTCTGTTTGCTGTCGTGCGAGACTTGTAAACAGTTGATTAAATGTCGTTTCAGAGCGTAAAATACCTCATTGTGCAATTTTACAATTTCTATACTCACGCCGTAATTCTTGAAAACCATATTTCTGTTTATCTCGTCCAACTCTGCCGATGATTTTTTGTGGTCGAGTTTCAATTTCGTTGTAAAATCCCTTCCAATTTCGTTTTTCACTACCAGTCCATTATAGCTGTTTCGACCGGATCTCGCAATCGCATTAGATTTGTTTGGCATTGGCGGTTTAAACATGATGAGTCTGGATAAGTCGTTTCCGTCTTGTCGCCCCGATGGTAACGCTGCGATTGGCGATACCAAGAAGCTCGTAGATATCGGTGGACTAGCATTGATTAAAGTCCAGCACACACAAAGTATTGTGACAATTGACCGATACATGACAGCGTGCATTTTCGTTGCAAATATTCGTTTCATCAGTTGTATTATAATTGTGTAGATATTTTGTTATTTCTTATATTATACTGAAATATAGCGTAAACGCAACTTTGTGTTGAAACGTTTTTCCTATAATGCTACCATATTTTAAAATCGTACTTCAAGATGAACATTTTTAATAATTTCAGTAGATGTGAAATGTGATGTGTGTTTGTCTTAGCAGTATTTCTTTTAGTGTAAACCAAAGGTTGCGCAATTCTTTGACACATTTTCAATAAAAAATAAGGCAGTTTATACCTGGCGCGTTTTCTGAACTTTTCAATATTGCAACACCAAAAAACGATTTTCAAAATTTGTAAAGCTATAATAGATGGTTATTACGGGGGTCAACGCCCTACACACTATAGGATTTCTTTAGTAGTCTTTTGTTCTAGTATAAGAATTTTAGAATTCAAAGTTATATCATTTTTAGTGTTTGCTAAAACCTAGAAACTTAAATGGTAAAATATATTATATATATATATATACATATATTCAAATTAGTTTTAAAATTAAGAGACAGTTTACTAAAACTTTTGACTTGTCGAAAACTTGTTTTGAATAATTAGGTTTAAAATTTAGGACGAGGGCCAGTTGAATAATGTACACGGATAAAAATAATTCTACACTCTCTCTTCCTTCCGTCTTAGATTTTAAACTTTAATAACTTTATTTATAAGCCATATAGAGATTTACCGAGACTAGATCTTTGGATAAATGATTTTTCACAAAAATATAATTCCATTAAGGCTTTATGCTTTAAAAGCATGTAACCTAAATCAATATATCTTGAAACCATAGGTAAAATCTTTTAAAGTCAAGATAACTATCGTCTAGCTGCGATTTTTGGCTTCGTTGCTGAGCTGTGTTTTTATAATGATGTGTGTGTTTTTTTTTTGAGTCTGTACCCATTACTTTTTTATTACTAGCCCATTTTCATTGTTATATTATATTATTAATATCTTAAATATAGTATTCGCTTTATTCATATTCTACTTGTATACTTATTTACTGTACACTAACCCTTTTAGAAATGCTATGCCATGTTAAGATTATATTTGTGTTCCTACACGGAAACGTGTATTCAAAACACATAAGTTGTGTTATTTATTTGTCTTGTGCTATAGGAAAAATGTATTGAAATAAAAAGAAAATCTGGTGTGATGTGATGTTTGATTTCTAACACGGAAGCTAACTCAAACACATAACCTATTGGAAATATTATGTCGTTTCGTTATTGTTATTATTTTTCAAATTGAAATAAGAAACATGTTTTGAAGTAATGTTTCCGTATACTTGTTCAAACAGTAATCTGTTATACATACATCAATGCACGCATACAAACAATTTATTTTTTATAAGGAAATTTGTATTTAAGTATTCAAATAAAAACATACATAGGTACGGAGTATAGGATTAAAGTGTTAACATAAACAGTAATGTTTACAAAATCACTACTATTTCACCAGGTTTTACAAATACTGTATTGTTTCCTTGTAGAATATATACAAATAAAAAACCCTAATAAAACCGGATTAATGCTTAGACAGGATATCATTTGGTATCTCTTGTGGTAAGATTCCTATTTTAAGTTTTTAAAAAACTTTTACGGTTGAAACAAACTTGAAATGTTTTTTTAGTGCATTTTAATTGTTGCATTGTTCTGTTGTATTCAAAATGGCAATGCTGATGATGATGATGATCGCGTCAGGGTATATTCCAATTTTGTATTACATCTTTATGAATAATTTAGACGATATTGTACACTATAAAATTATGTATATTTATAATATGTTAATATATACTTAACTGAACATTGTATTTTTATTCATATTATAACTTATATACCTACAATGTGATCTCAATTTCTCACAAACTTTCATGTTTTTATGTTTTAACACCCTCCTAAATTAGTTATTTTTTATATCAGCTTTTGAAACTTAAATGCTGACGTATATACTTTATTGAATTTTTTAATGAAAAATTGTGAATAATTTTGGACAATTATGTATAAATTCGACTTTTTAACAAAAGTTAATTTTTTTTTCGCTTTTTTCTCAGAAACATATTTAAATTACATAGACACATATTTTTCTCTTATCCTATCTATTATTCTTCATTTGTTTCCATAACGATTATAGTTTAACACAACATAACAAAATATCATCCAATATATACTCAATGAATAAAGAGTTGCATGTTGAATAATTAGTAGCAAAATATAACAAACGTATGTTAAATGTCATTATAGATGTTGCTGCTTTAAAATACTGTTTTATTTAACGTGTCTATTTTATATTGTTATTTCCATGTTTCAGTATAATTTGAATATATTTCTGAGGTAAAAATCAAGAAGTTTTGCGGTTAAATTTGTTTTTTTTGACCATAACAAAAATATTTTACCACATTGCTAAGGTAATTTTGTTCGTAATCGAACGAAAAATGGCCAGGAATTTTGTTTTACTTTTGAACAAAGTTTTAAGGGATGTTTTTCCATTAAGTTATCATAAGTCATCATCTAAATTTAAGGTCCATAGCATCGTTATATATATATATGTTCAATTTTATGTATTCCAGGAGCTGCAAACATATTTTATAACTAACGTGGATAAGGCGACTTATTTATTGTCCCCGGAAAATGCTACCTCTTATATAAAAAGCCACTATTCTGTGGATAAAACATGTAAGGCTTATTTTATTTTATTTTACTTCATGAACATTTGTTTTAAATTTCTACACAACACTGTACTACGGGTTTTTTTAATCGGGTTACAACTACATTTTAAATAATAGCACGTCCATATGTGTACACATCTTTGGGAAAACTCAATTTTCATAAAGTTTACTCGCAAGTCAAAACGACGATGTGTTCAAATTAGAAAATAAGTTAAAATGATAACTTTATTAAATGAATTGTATAAGATAATTAGGTATCAAATGCATTAGAACGCTTTGTCGAATAAAAATAAAATAAGAACAAATCTAACTTTTTGTTTTACTAAAATAATATTATTATCTTTATTAGTTTCTGCTTTATAACTTTGATTTGGAACTCAAATGAAAATGTGCTATGAACAGACAACTGCATTTGAGTTAGTTGAATTTATTAATTCGCAGTTCCAGTAGCTTGCCCATAGACATACTTTTTACATAGGTCGTTTTATATCTCCGATGAACCGACATTTCCATGTAACATTTAATTAGACACTTTCTTTCGGTACAACGATATATAATTAAAAAATTTACCATAATATATTATAGTTCTTTTTCTTTTTTCTGTTGCATTAACACTGTTCTCTGTTAGTTATTATCATTCAATTTTTTTACACTCTTGTCCAAAATGTATTTAAACAAAAAAAAATTGGTTAACCATTTATCTTTGTCAAAAATCATGTTATTATAATACAGAAAAACTACTTGTACATCGTTACTACAAAAAAATAACAATAAACTTTTACCGTATATTTAAGTAGATTGATAATTCTCTAGAAAATAAGTTCAATAATAAATTAAAAATAATTTATTCACACAACTCTATTATAATATGGTTGTTTCTAGATTCGGCTGGCCTCTGTTGGATTGAATTGCTGAGCGAAATTAAGAGCAACGGGGAAATATTCTTAGGATAATGAAGAAATAGCTAACGCGAAATATACTGGTATATAATATACAGTACATAATATTATTTATTTATAGTGTAGAAAATATTAGAATAATGTATTTATTACTTTAATAATTTTGTGTTATTTATTCTCGAAGATTGTTGTTGTATTGCGTGTTTTAATATTAAAAATGTACACCTTCTTTAGTTTGTAATATAAACATTATTTATGGATTAGTACAAATAAAGTGTTGAATAATAATTAAACGCAGTATCCTATTTTGAAAATGTATTGTCAAGTACTGTCATTTAATATCTATTTACGATCCTATCCTAATCTAACATTACTAGTAAATAGTTTTCATTTAATAACTGGAGTATTCTTTCTGAATACTCGGTTCAATAAAAACCAAAAAAAAATAACGAGTTGAAGTATTAGAGGAATTGGATCTAGTTCTATATTTATTTTCTAACACGGAAACGTAGTAAAACCAAAAAATGTATATTATTTATTGGTCTTGTGCTTTCAAACAAATTATTGAAATAAGAAAAAAATCTGGTGTGATATGATGTTTTTTTTTCTAATACGGAAACATATTTAGCACACATAAATTGTGGTATTTATTTGTCTTGAGTATTCAAACGAATTTATTGAAATAAGAAAACATAAAAACTTATTATTCATACACCAATGCATGCAATAAAATATCATAATAAACCATTAAGGTATGATTTCTAATCTATAGGGCTGCTACAAAAAGAAATTGGTTCTTCGCGTCGACTATCAGCGACAATCCGTTGACCGCATTTACTTTGTGCTCTTTTTATTATGTAACCTATGGCTATTTGCTTTGGGTGGGTAATAATTGTTCTCCACATTTTTTCTTCCGATAAGAATGTGTTCCAAAAGTCTGTTGGGACAAAGTTTATTGGGAGATAAGATGCATGGTATAACTGTTATTTGCAACAAATGTTTTGCGGAAGAAAAGTGATATGGCATCTCTCAGCTAACGCCCAAGTCATTCATGTCTTTTATCAGGCATCCGTCCGGCCACCACGCATTTCCGGCCCATTGCATTCTTATACTTTTAACAAATTGTACAATATTTTCCCTTTTGTATAGGTTCCCCAGTTGTGCATTTTTATACGTATCCTGGATAAGTGACGTAGCATTTTTACTTTCTATGAAATTGGTACACAAAATGGCTGCCTCACTGGTGGCGACATTTTTTAATACGCTGTTCGGTTAGGTTTCTACGCCAACGTTGTAGTTTTAATCCAGGTGGCTGCCGTCGCGAAGGCCTTTGTGGGAGGGCGGCAAAGGAGCACTGTACCACTCGCTACGCAGCCGGTGTAATTACGGTGTGCCGGTAATGGCTGCAGGTTGCGGCAACGACATGTGTGGTTAAGCTAAGCGAGGTGGCCGTGCGGTGTCTCTGATGCGCGATGGTTACTTTGCTTACATAAATAAATGATATGTTTCAAGAGTTGTTTTCAACCCAATGGCAAAGTTGTGAATTCAGTGTGCACTATCTGTGCTTCAAAAAAATACTGCGTGTTTACTTACTTGAAACACCAGTACAGCACATTATTATTTGCTATGAAACACACAAAACATAAAACGAAATAGTGAACCATGATTGTGGTTTAATCTTAATACAATAATACCTATTCGTTTTTTACACAAAATGTAATAATTTTCTTACACTACAATATTACACGGTTATAAGGGGTGAGAAAATTCTTCTAATATGTATCTGGTGTGTAACGATGGCTTTTTGCCTAATCAATAGGCGTGACTTCATTAAAAAAATTGAGGGTACTTAACCTATGTATTTTCCAGGGTTTTCAATTACAATTTAAATTATAAGGTTAATGGTTTTTTGAGCAAGGAGGTTGTAAAACAATTTAACATTTAACACTATAGTTTATTAACATTTTAGTTTTAGCAAAAATTAATACAATATTACAATTGTTTACCTTGTCGGTATGTTAAACGTAGGTATATTGTTTCATTCATTTTTTGAAAATTTTAACGTTAAAAAAAGTTTTCGAGCCCTGGCCGTGTGGATGTAGTAATTTTTGTATAAAATAAAAATGATCTGTTTAATATATTTTATAGAATACAAAATTCAGCACGTTTTCCGCTGTTTTAGCCGCGAAAAGATTATTAAAGCTAAAGGTTTTTAAAAATGTCATATATAAATTAACTTAATGGGTAATACCAAGAAATTACTTTTACCAACCAAATGGAAAATATCATCAATTATTTATGTTAATAAATTAAATAATATTTATAGATCTAAGCTAAATTATAGAGATGTAGAACTATAATGATATGTGTAGGTATACAATATTCGATATTATCAGCCGTGGTGTTCATTTGTAGCAACTATAATACTTTAGTTTGAGTTTTAAACAATAATTCAAATATATTATAAAGTGTTTTATTCGTAAAGCCACCAACTAATTCTCCCTTAAGGTTTTGTCATTGGGAATAGAAAAGACAAACTTTTTATACTTATTAAGACATTTATTTGGCACTAAAAAATATTTAATACAGACATCAATAAGATCACGCGTGTATAATATAAGTAGTATAAATTCAATATGGCGTAGTTGTTGGTTAGTATAAAAAAAGTCCCATTTTTTTAAATTTAGCGGTATTATTATTTAAGTTCTAAATCTATAAAACCATTTAGCTATTGTAGCGCTCGTCGTTAAAGTGTTGAATGCTGTGTATGGGAATGGGAGTAGAGTTAACCGACCTTAACTTCTAAGCCCGTGGGTTTGACTGATAAAAAACAACTGATAATATTATAATAAATTATTTTGAACCGGAAACGCCGCCAATGCAGATCCCTACTGTATAATGCTAACTAGTAAGTGTACCACTTGACTTCAATAGCGTCGATAAAAGTAAATATTAGTGACAAAAGTTGACCGGCATAACCAGACAGGTGGTCCGTCCTGTAATTCTAGTTAATGCACATCATTAAATAGTTTTGTTCGTTTAATATAGAGAATATTATGTGTGAGTGAATTACATAATCCACATTAATTTGCAAAATATTTTCATTATTTTAATTATTGATTAAATATGAAAAACAACGGCAAAATTAGTTTTAGACAGTCGATAAACACCCTCCCTTATCCCATAAGGTATGCTCAGTCATCACTATGCACTAACCCTACTAGAAATTATGTCATGTTAAGATTATATTTGTTTTCTAACGCGGAAACGTATTCGAAACATATAAGATGTGTTTCTTTATTTGTTATGTGCTATAGGAACAGTTTATTGAAATAAGAAGAAAATCTGGTGTGATGTGATGTTTGATTTCTAACACGGAACCGCACTCAAAACACATAAGTTGTAATATATTTTATTTCCTTGACCCCATTGTACTGACTTTTTTTTTAATAGCATTGAAACCTATTGGAAATATTATGCCGTTTCGTTATTGTTATTATTTTTCAAATCTAAATAAGAAATAAAACATGTTTTGATGTTTCCGTGTACTTGTCCAAACAGTTATCTGTTATACATACATATGAATTTAAGTACTCAAAGCAAACATACATAGGTACGGAGTATAGGATTAAAGTGTTAACATAAACAGTAATGTTTACAAAATCACTACTATTTTACCTGCTTTTACAAATACTGTATTGTTTCCTTGTATCTAAATCACTATAAAACCGGGCTAATGCTAAGACAGGATATCATTTGGTATCTCTTGAGGTAAAATTCACATTTTAAGTTTTTGAAATATTTTTACAGTTGAAACAAACTCGAAATGTTTTTTAAGTGCATTTTAATTGTTGCATTGTTTTGTTGTATTCAAAATGGCAATGCTGAAGATCCCGCCAAGGTATATTCCAATTTTGTATTACGTCTTTATGAATAATTTAGCTGATATCGTACACTGTAAAGATATATTAATTTATAATATGTTAATATACATACAATTATACCTTTATAGAATATATATATTTTATTTTTATTCATATTATAACTTATATATATATAATTTTATCTCAATTTTTCACATACTTTCGTGTTTTTAAGTTTTAACCCCCCTCCTAAATTAGTTATTTTTTATATCAAGTTTTAAAACTTAAATGCTAACGTATGTACTTTATTGAGTTTTTAATTAAAAAGATTGTGACTGATCGGTAACTGTTTAATCGACCGCCCGGATATCTATAAAACGGGTTGGGTCGGATTATTAGCGTGGTTCAATTTCAATATATTAAAGGATTCTTGAGATAAAAAGGGATAAAATGGACTGTATGGTATGTAGATAAAGAGACGGTACTGAACAATAAATAGATACGTAGAAATGAAATGCGATAAATAATTATATGTATTAACACATGATAATACCAATGTAAGACTATTAAATAATGAGGACAGGGGGAAGAATACTTATAATCTAATGCCACACGGCGCAACAATATAAAACAACAAATATATTATAAGCTACGGTACTTACCGACTAATGATCACTTGCACGTGTATCGACGTTGACTCGATGGTGACCACATACATGGAATCTTCCAACACACACCACCGGTCGGCTGGGCGACTTAATTATGCACCAGGGTGTATGCGGATCGCAGGGCGATTTTATTAGATCGTAATGTGCACAGGGATGTAGGCGAATCGCATGGGCGATTTTATTATATTGCGTACAGAGGTACGAGCGAATCGCTAGGGCGATTATCAACAAAACACGACTATGTGTAGTCCGGGCGATTAACTATAGTGCGTACAAGGGTACGCGCGAATCGTTAGGACGATTAACAACACAAAATGATTTTTTTTTTGCTAATTACCGACATAAAACCATGAGGCGAAGGCTAAGATGGCGGCGATGGACATCGGCGCTCGCGTCGGTAACCAAAACGTTCGATGCGCACACCGGACAGAAGAACGAGCGAGAGTGTGTCGAAATGCGTTATATTAACGCTATCCCGTAAACCGGTGGTAGCGGCACAGGCAGGGTGGCCAATTTACCACATGCGTGTGTGTAAGCGGATCCAACAGTAACTAGATTTGGACAATTATGTATAAAGTCGACTTTTTAACAAAAGTTAATTTTTTTTTCGCTTATTTCTCAGAAACATATTTAAATTACATAGACACATTTTTGTCTCTTTTCCTATCTATTATTCTTCATTTAGTTCCATAACGATTATAGTTTAACACAACTTAACAAAATATAAACCAGTATAGACCAAATTAATATAGAATTGCATGATGAATATTTAGTAGCAAAATATAACAAACGTATGTTAAAAAATGTCATAATAGATGGTGTTGCTTCAGGATACTGTTTTATTTAACTTGTGTATTTTATATTGTTCTTTTCATGCTTCAGTATAATTTAAATATATTTCTGAGGTAAAAAATAAGAAGTTCTACATTGAAATTTATTTTTTGACCATAGCAAAAATAGTTTATCACATTGCTAAGGTAATTTTGTTTTACTATTAAAAAAAGTTTTAATGGTAGTTTTTCCATTAAGTTATTATAAAACATTATCTAAATTTAAGGTCCATAGCATCGTTAATATTAAATATATATATTAAGGTGGTCGTTAATTTTGATTTTTAAGAGCGAAGTATAGAAATAAGTTCGAAATGTCGAAAACAAAATGTCTTTTATCTACATTCTCGTTTGTATAAGCACCAATCCCTGACAATTCTTTATAGTTGAAATTTGTTTGGCAGTTAATTAGCCATTGTAATAAAACAATTATTGGAAAATAAATAATAGCAATGTTATTTCAATACCAGGGCCTCATGATTTGCGGCACCTGTTTTTCTTAAGTGAAAAATCTGAAAAAATTAGGGCATTTTGTTTTCGACATTTCAAATCTATTTCTATACTTCGCTCCTCAAAATCGAAATTAACGACTACCCTATTATATATATATATATATATATATATATTCAATAATTATATATTCAATTTTATGTTTTCCAGGAGCCGAGAAGATATTTTCTTGATCATAGGGATAGAGGGTCTAATACACTGTCCTCGCAAGATGTTGCCTCTTATGTAAAAAGCAAATATCTTATGGATAAAACATGTAATGCTTATTTTATTATATTTCGCTTCATGAACATGTTTTTTTAATTTCTACACAACGCTGTACAACGGGAGTTTTTTTAATCGGGTTTCAATTACATTTTAAATAATAGCACGCCCATATGTGTACACAGCTTAGGGGAAACTCAGTTTTCAAAAAGTTTATGCGCAATCCCAAAAAACATGAGATGTGTTCAAATTAGAAAATATGTTAAAACTATGACTTTTTTAAAAAAAATTGTTCAAAATAATAAGGTACCTAACGCATCAAAATGCTTTATCGAATAAAAAAAAATAAGAAATAGAACTCGAAGATATTTAACATTCAACTGTAATTCTACTAATATGCGGATGACTTAATCCACAATTGGTGATGACAACCAAAATTGGTTGCGCAAAATTTTCTTACAATATTTATTAGGCATGCCCCTATCCACAAATAGCTTCACATCTAAATTATAATAACCCTGCACCCCCCTTCCCCCAAAAGGTTTGACATTTGTTTTCGTTTTTTTGTTTATATTTTAGGCGCAATTTTAAGACTTTAGAACTGAAAAAAAGACTGAAGATAAGATATTGTATATCAATAACTTGTAAAAAAAAAAATCATCAAAACACACAGAATTTATGCTTCGTCATTAAATCCGAATGAAAGAATTTAATAAATATTATTAATACAAATTATATAATAAATTAATTACGCTAAAAATGAAATAAATTACAAAATTTTTTAATTTGAACGCATTAATAAGTATTGACAGTAATTAGAATGAAAAATGAATACTTAAAAAATGATGGTCAACGTACCCTTGTCTGAGGATCTATCTCCTAACAACCAGTCAAAACGATCGGCATACACATTGTTATACTTCATATTTTTTGTAAGCGAATCGATCTATAAATGTAGATTTAACATCTTCAAGATATTTATTAACCTTTTCTTGTGTAGGTTTATTGCTTAATTTTGTAAGCTCTACAGACGATAAGTTCAATGATTTTGCAAGAGCATCATGTTCGTATTAATAATGTTTTTTTATAAATTTCACCATTTACAAGTGTCGGATTTGATGTCGAAGAAATTTCTACCGTCGCAATTTAATTCGAAATATTTGTCAAAGTCTTCTACGACAAAGCTGTGCATTTATATGATCTTTTTTGGGGGCATTGATAATTATTGTAAAACGCTTTTGGGAGTGTCGACGTCTGGGTGAAAAATGTTTTGGATTTTCAAAGCCAAATCGTAGAGCAGCCATATCTCATAAATATTTAGAATTCCTCCTTTGTTGTAAGCATATCCCCCGTGTACATTGTGAAAGGTACAGACCATCTTGTCCGCTTGTTCGAAGAAACTTACCGTATACTCGACCGCAATACTGTCTATTGACCCAGGATTTGACACTTGATACAATTCTCTGGCTATTGAAAAATGAAAATGTGCTATGAACAGGCAACTGCATTTGAGTTCGTTGAATTTATTTATTCGAAGTTCCAGTAGCTTTCCCATAGACATACTTTTTACATAGGTCGTTTTATCGTTGTTCTGAATAAAAATCACCGGTGACATTCGTAGTTCTTCGGGTAACTCATCTTTTAGTCGGTTGATACAACTATGATAACACACGGCACGAATATTGTGTATTTAAATTATCAGAAGTGAATATGCCACACAACGTTGTCTTATAGCCATATTTGATAATACAGTTTTGTAAAATTATTGACTTGAACTCAATAATGTGTTTTATACAATCACAAAACGCCAAGATGAATACAGTGAAGTTTGTACATTAAAATAGTCCGTTGAAAATTAGTGCAAAAACCTGATTTCCCATTTTTTTTTACTGGAAATATTGTGTATAATACAATATATTATTCTTTACACAGTTGGTTAGACTTTCTCGTTTGTGTTTTTGGCAACCTAACCTACTTTTGCTACGATGCGAAGAAAATATTGTTTTACAAAGATGAGTTTTTTTCAATTTTGTGTGTACACGCCATATCTCCTAAGCCACTAAACCGATATTTCCATGTAGCATGTCCATAAAACGGTAAACTGATCCGGATTAGGTAAAACCGAGAAAACTTTACAGTCATTTTATTTGGACACTTTCTCTTGCAGTACAATAAAGAACACAGAATTACAAAATATACTATAGTATATTATAGTTCTATTTCTTTATTCGGTTGCGTTAACTGTCCTCTTACAGTTATTATCATTCTAATTTTTTACACTCTCGACCAAAATGTATAAAAAAATTGTGATTTGTGGAAATGACAAAAAAAAATTGTTAACCATTTATACTTGTCAAACATCATGTTATTATATTATAGAAAAACTACTAGAGATTGTCACTACAAAAAAACAACGCTAACATTTTACAATTGTCAAGAAAATAAAATCAATAAATTAAAAAACAATTCATTAATGCATTTCTACTGTAATATGATTGTTTCTAGACTCGGGAACGTTCAGTTGGGATCGATTTTGGAAAGAACTTAAGAGCATAGACAGTAGTTTTCCAGATCTAAGCGGAGGTAACGAGAAAATATTCGTACGATATTGAAAAAATAGTTAACGCAAAATACGCTGGTATATAATATACATTACATAATATTAGTAATATATAGTGTAGAAAATATTAGAATAACATATTTGTTACTTTAATAATTTTATGTTCTTTATTCCCGAAGATTGTTGTTGTATTGTGTGTTTTAATATTAAAAATGTACACCTTCTTTAGTTTGAAATAGAAACATTATTAATTGATTAGTTTAAATAAAGAGTTCAATAATAATTAAACGCAGTATCTTATTTTGAAAACGTATTGTCAAATACTGTCATTTATCTATTTACGATACTACTTAATTTCCTCGCATCCTAATCTAATATTACTAGTAAAATGTTTTTATTTAATAACTTTCTAAAATAATATTTCTTAAAGAAAGATTTCAGTCTGAATATTTGGTTCAATAAAAACCAAAAAAAGAACGAGTTAAAGTTTTAGCGGAATTGGATCTAGTGCTGTATTTATTTTTCTAACACGGAAACATAGTAAAAACATAAGTTGTATTGTTTATTTATCTTGTACTTTCAAAAAAATTTATTGAAATAAGAAAAAAAATCTGGTGTGATTTGATGTTTGTTTTCTAATACGGAAACGTATTTAGCACACATAAGTTGTGGTATTTATTTGTCATGGGCCTTCAAACGAATTTATTGAAATAAGAAAAAATAAATACTTATTATTCATACATCAATGCATGCAATAAAAAATTACATTTTACCAAAAGAATAGCCTAACAAGCATAACTAAATTAATATACAGGTTTCAATAAGAGATTTTGAAATGACCCCTCGTTAAATTCTGTTACTGGAGGTCTGAAAAATCACAATGACCTTGAAGTATCATTGTATGGAAAAAAATTAAAAAATGATTCACATAGGTGGTTTTATCATAACTTTAAAAAAATCGTCAACAAGTTAAGTTGGCCTTGAAATTCTAAAGAACAAGAGTATTTTTCGTACGCCGTCATTATAATGCAACCCAAACATGGGTATCTAAAAAATAGTCACAGTCTTTTGGCTTTGTACAATAGTTTGTACACATACGAACATTGTATTTTATTTATGCAAACAGTGCAAAATTTAAACGAACCAAACAAGTGTTTTTCTATAATAAAAGAAATGTGTTTTCGAGTAAATGCTTAGGCAAGAACTCAGAAAAACAATAGTTTAATGAAAAATCATATTTTTAAACATTTGTGTACTTTTGAACTCGGTGTCCCCTTTGAAACACATGCACCTATATGCGAAAATATGCAAAAACTTCACTTTCTAACAGTTTAAATAATTAATACACGTATACATGGACTTATAGTTAACGACTTATTGTTTCGCATTGGCCTACAAGGAAAACCCCTTAATTTTTGAACATTTATCACCAATTTTAAATTGAATGGAACACAAAGCAATGGGCATTTTAGAAGTTGATAAAACTTTTTTTTTATCGAATTAGACACTCTAACCAAAATATGTTTTCATCATAGTTCAAAGGTAGAATGTCTATGTAATTGATATTTAAAAAGGCCACGTGTAGTGAAATAAAAAAAAGATACTTTTTCTTGGTAAAATTTGATTTTTCTTTTGATTTAGAAGATTAACGATAAAAACAATAATTGAAAACGTAAAAAAAAAACTTTTAAATAATAACCTAATATTTTTTTACCAATTTTATAAATATCAGTTAAAAAATATTCAAAATGGCAGCGTTTTTAAAATAAGTGGGCAAATTAAAAAAAATATTGTTACTTTCTCCGCTCCCCGGAAAAACATTGAATCGTGGATATGTTATAGCATGCTTTTCAAAATCAGTATAATTAACTTCAGTTTGTTGATTATTGAAAAAGATACATGTGATGGTTTATAGTTATTAAATTGGTAGGCGATGATTTATTATAACAAAATCCACGTTGTTGTAGTTCTAAAATATTTTTAAATAAAGGTATAAAATTATTATTTATTATTTTAGAAAATATTTTTTGGGAGGACAGAAATTATTGATATAGGACTGTAGTTTGAAATGAATGATTTATTACCTTTTTTAAGAATTGGATTAATATAGGTGGATTTCCAAAGAGAATGAGCCACTATTTAAAGAAGTTTTGAAGAAATATGACCTTGAAATAACATTGTGTGATAAATACCAAAAATTATTCACTCAGCTTGCGCTTTCATAGTTTTAAAAAAAAAACCACCCCATAGTTTAACCCAACATATTCTAAACACCAAGCACAGCTCAAACTAAGTTCAGTCTAAACCAGTACAGTGTAAGCCAGCACAGTCCGAATAAAACAAAACATTATATTGAGCTAAAAGGCTACTTTACCTACGATTAAATTATTTGATAATTTGTGTACTAGCGTTTATCCAAAAGTTTTAACGCAATTTTAAAAATTAAAACATTGTTATTTAAGGCCACAATGATACATATCAAACAAAAAGAAATAAAACTTTATGGCAAATATAGTTTTGGTTTTTAAATAGATTTTAATGGTTTAATGTGTAAAATGATTTTTTAAACTAATTTTATCACTTATAGTTGTAACATTTTAATTTCTAAAGATAATGTTGGTTTTGTTACCAAATTTTTACGCAACAAAATTCGGTTTTAACATAAAAACCAGTAATGAACAAAATAATTTTGAAATCATTCGAATAGTAATTTAAGTAAATACCTAATTAAAGTATTGAGAAAAGAAAGGGTTTTCTAAAAAAAAAAAAGACAAACCGACACAATTATATTATAATCAAATAGCTAGATTAAAAAACAAAATAGTTTTTGTTGTCCGCTCGATTTCTGAACCAAATCATTTTGTTCTTTTAAAGAACTATTGATCTCTACTTTGGCACATTAGTGTAACTTTATTTATTTGTTATGATCAAGATATAAATCTCTAAATCTACTTATCCAAATCTAATAATATAACATAAGTTTTTTATTTATTGCAATTTTTGTGGGCAGAGAAAATGTTTTACTGTTAACAATGATGTATTTTTTATGTTTGCTAACGTGTTTATATTTATTTATTTTTTTGCCGAAATAGCTTCCCCGAATAGAATCTCTTTCTGCTAATCAGAGATCATTATATTATGAAATGTGTATATTTTGTCGGGTACAAATTATGTTTTAGGACAATTTTTGATATTCGAGAAAAACATGTAGGTAGGTATATATTTCTATCGAATCGTATGTCTTTATATCATGACGAATCGTCAAGAGCACAACAACAATATGTGTTTTAGTTTTTTTACCTATATAAAAAAAAATTGAACGTAGAATCACACCTAAGTCAACAATACTTACCCTTCACACACGTTCCGACATATAATATTCAAGATTCGTATACAACTTATATATTTTGTCGACTCTTTGAACAAAACAACGGAATGTATTTCAACCATGTACTGCTTACATACTAAATTTTTCTAATAAATATTTTTAAAAAAACGTATGCATACCTACCTATAAAACAAAGATGAAACTTACAATGTGCTTAAAACTATATTTTTAGTATTAGAGTGAATGCTATTAGGGTTGGTCAAATATTAACAATAAATCAATATTGTTTTTTTGGTCTTGATGACTTGTTTAGGATTATTTTTAATAAAATAAAGTTTGACTAAAGAGTTTTCAGAAAATCCTAATCTATGTTTTAGCTCGACTAAAGATCTACCTTCGGAATCCTTCCTTAACCTCCGGTCATTTTCAGACCTTAAGCCTTAAAAGTACACCTAAAAAAGGCGAAATAAAGAAAAAGTTTTCACTCTTTTTTAGATAAAAAGGTTAATATTTTTTAGGTTTGTCAACGTTTTCAAGGGGAAGACTAGAATTTTTTTAATTTTCAGCCTAATAAAGTACCTTTTAGCTAGGTAATTAACGGTTAGGAATTAGTGCTCACTTTACACTTTATAAGTCAGCGTTCAATGTCAGGTTTTAAGGCACGAGCACACATAAGTCATCATGTGCGCTACTCTCGATCAAACACAAGTTTCCCAATAACATATTTTTTTGGATCACAAAATAAAACCGCTTTTCACGCTTACAGGCGGAATCAACCATTTTTCGTAGCAGCTAACCGGCGTTATGCCATTTTCATATTATGTAATACAAGGTAACGTATAATAAAATATAAGATGAATCTTTATACACAACCAGGGCAACTTATACTACCTTGTAAACGATGGACATTTTTTTAATTTAATATATAATTTTATAGTTATATTGATCATTACTTTATTTTAATAAAAATAAAATAAGTGGGCTGCCTAATAGTCATAGGTTGGTTATTAAATTAAACATAATAACTAGTGTAAGAAAAATATATTTAATTACTTTCTTAAATTCCACGTATTGGCATTTTAACATTTTAATAAAATAAATAATGACAAAATGAAAGAGCAAAATTATTTATTATTTAATCCAAACTACATTGTATGTGACAAACTACATACATAAACATATATATTTAATAAAAGTTAATAATAAAATCAAACTATTCAGAAAAAAAAACTTATATACATATACAAATATGTATTTAATAAAAGTCAATAAAATAAATAATAGCAAAATGATTTATTATTTAATCCAAACTACACTGTATATGACAAACTACATACATAAACATATATATTTAATAAAAGTATATAATAAATTAAACTATTCAGAAAAAAAATAATCAGTGACGATGAAGTCAACTTCGGCTCTGGTAAAACTGTGAACTGAAAGCACAAAATATTATATATTTTTAAACAAACGAATTAGGTAAAATGACAGCAAATAAGATGTGAAAAATAAACTAGTACACTTGCAAAACATTTTTATTTTAAATCATTAATATTAAATTAAATTTTAAACTATTAGTAAAGATAAAAAAATGTAAAAAAAAAACCGATCATATATGCTACAAGTTTTTTATTTATTTTGTTCACCAACAATTGTTCAATATTTTTTCTGGTCCGAGAACCATGATTTTTTGGTTTTAAAAATAACTATAATTTACAGCTATACAAATGGCAAACTCCATGTTTTT